CGTCGCTCGGTCAGGCTGGGCTTCCCGAAGGCGCCGCCGCCCCGATGGAGGAGAGCGCCACGCCGGCACCGGGATCCAGGCACAAGCGTTCCGCCTTCATTCCGCCTCCTCCGTCTTTGCGCAGCGGACTCTCTTTATGGCTACCCCGTGAAGGATCTCTACAGCATGGCCACTGGGACGGAAAGTCGCCTCGCCGGCCTCCGGCACGATCCTCAGTGGGAGAAGAAGATCCAGAGCCCCACACGTCACATCCCTCTGCGCAGGTAGCAGCACGGCAGCCTCCTGCCCTCGGGCTCTGAAACACTCCCCGGCCCGGCATTTTGGGAGTCACCTTCCTTACCCTACAGACCCACCCTTGCCCTGTGGTCAATTCTGCACAGCAGGAGGGCGGCTCGCCCCAGACAGTGACACCTAGTGGCTGGCCGGGTGTGTGCGGGGGGCAGCCGGGGGAAAAGGGATGAATTTTGCCTGCCCCGTCACTAGGTCCTTGTCTTGGCCTCTCCTCCTTCAGCTCTGGAGACGTTCGCTACCTGGTGAAGGTTCCCGGGCGAGCAGGGGAGAATCTCTTGGTTGTGAAGTCCGATGTGGCTGAGCTTCTTGACGGACAAACGCTCGACTCCCTGTGGACTGTCAACGCCTCCCACGTCCTGAGGTAAGGCTGCCCTGGCCGGAGAACGCGGCTCCTTTCCGAGAGCCTGGCCCATGACACCTGTGTCCGAGGCAGGTGCGCGATGTTCCCGGCAAACGCGTCTCGGCCTCGCCCCGGGGGCCGCCCATGGAGGGAGGCGCGGCGGTGTGCTTCTCCCTGGGAGCCACACCACGGAGCGAGGGCAGAGGTGTGTGTGTGTGTGTCTTTCTGCTGCCAACCCTCCCAGGGTGCCTGGCTTCAAACGCTGCACCCATGGGAGGGGACGGAAACTTGGCCTGCCGGGGAGGGGTGGGTCGTCCTGCGTCTCTCTGAAGGTCGGTGGTGGCCACGCAAAGCGGCCCTTGGGAGCCTGGGGGTCTCCGCTCCCGCTGGCCTGGGAGAGGAAGGACCTGGGTGCTGCGTCTCAGTCCCTTTCTCGTCCCTCCTGCAGCGAGCCGGTGTTCGGTTACTACACCCCCGACGCTCCCCACGTCGTCCTGGAAAGCGGACTTGGCCCCCACAGGAAGAAGGTTTGAAAGCTCTTGGCTTGGGCGCCCTTTCCCTGTTCGCTTGTGGCCATGGCCCGTGTTCGCCCGGGCGCCGGTGCAGGTGGCACAGGGGTCTGGCTGGTGTGCGGTGTCAGGCCGCGGCTGAGCTGTGCCGCTGGCGCTCAGAGCTCCCCCGCCAGCCCAGGCGGGGGGTGACTTCTGCCCCCCTGCAGGTACCTGCCCGTGGACGGCGGGTGCGTTTGAAGGCAGCGCCCTGGGGCTGATCTCCCCCTGCACCTCCGGGTGGGACTGCATCGCCCCGGCCACCCCACTGCGGGGCTGCCCCACACGTCTCCGGGGTCGATTTCAGCAGGGATCTTTGATCTTTCCGTGGGGCGAGCAAAGGGGGGGCTCATTCTGGGGTCTAGCCTGCCCTGCCCAAGCCCGGGGGGCGGTGCGGGGGGGCTGGGCTGCAGCCTCCGGCTGCTCTGCCCGGGGTTAGCTCTGCTCTCCCCTCTCTGCCAGGTCATGATTATCGAGGGTGGCTCTGGAGCAGTCCGCTGGGAGCAGGAGCTGAATTCCGGCGCTGGGAGCCCAGGGCCAGCCACGCTGCACACCGCGGATCACCGCTCCGTGTTCCTCTTCTGGGGAGAGCACCCGGCAGAGGCCAACGACACGGTGAGGGCTGGCGAGCGGGGCAGCCCCCTGGGCCCCCTCTCTGCCAGGTCATGATTATCGAGGGTGGCTCTGGAGCAGTCCGCTGGGAGCAGGAGCTGAATTCCGGCGCTGGGAGCCCAGGGCCAGCCACGCTGCACACCGCGGATCACCGCTCCGTGTTCCTCTTCTGGGGAGAGCACCCGGCAGAGGCCAACGACACGGTGAGGGCTGGCGAGCGGGGCAGCCCCCTGGGCCACAGTAAAAATTAACCTCAAATGTTTTCTCTCACCCTTAAAAAAATGAAATAATTGAAGATATTGACATTTAAAATGTGAGCTATCCAGCTCTAACGCACTGTTCAAGTGCTCCATACAATTGTAAAGGAAACAGTATGTGGAAACACAATTCTCATTAAAGTTGCTGTTGTTTGCTTTATGTTCTCTTTGTTTTTTCAAAGGGATAGGTGTCCTTTGCCCTATTACTGCAAACCTATAACAGGTATCAGGCAGGACAAATATACCCAAACATAAGGAAGAATGGGAAAAGTTACAAAATAGGGAATAGCTCTTTTTCTTTTTTTTCTTTTTTGGCTCCAGGCTGATATTTCAGGATACAGGACAACTGTGAGAAAATAGGGATAGTAGCACTCTCTCTGGAATCAGATTTCACAATGGGGCTAGGTCTACACTGCAGTGTTATCTGCTGCCCCCCAAGCACTGTCTGTCTCCGTGGCCCTGAGACGCAGCAGCCGTCCTGGGGAAAGTCACCCGGTGCACCGGCCTCTGGGTGCTGGGCGCCAGCCAGGGAGGGGTGGTGGGAGCGGGAAGTCCTGCTGCTCCCCCTCGGACTTTCCCCAGCGTCGGCCTGTCGGTGCGCTGACTTGCTGAGCGTTTTCCTCGTGGCCGCTGGGTCCGGCGCCCTGAACCCTCCCTCTCCGCGGCTGACGGGCGCCTGGGTGTTCGCAGCAGACGGGTCTCGGGCGCTACTAACCCAGCTCGGGTGCGGGCTGGACTGGTAACGCCGGCTCTCGCCTTTGGCTCCGGCGGGCACCAGACTAGCAGAGCTGGGTGAAACCTGGCTCGTTCCCCCGCGTCGGTGGGCGTTTGGCTCCCCGCCCTGACCCCTCCTGTTGGTTTCAGGGCTCCCCGGCGTCTCCCCAGAACCTGTATCTGTTCCACCCCTCCTACCCCAATGCTCTCCTGGAGCTGCGCAATAGCTCCGAGCGGATAGTCGCCTTTGACGGTAAGTGCTGCTGCCTGGACCCTGCTAGCAGGACGCTGCCTGTGGCCTCCGGCCCTGCTCCCGGTGTCAGTCCCCGGAGCCTGCAGCTCGGACCCTGGGGCCGGGCAGGGGCCTGGCTTTACCCCTGCTCTCTGTTCCAGCGGTGCTGTTCGAGCGGAGCCGGCACGCCTGCTATGTGTTGCTGACGGGGCCGCAGAGCAGCGAGGGGCCGGGCTGGGTGTCCGTCGCCAAGCGGAAGCTGAAAGAAGACGTCTCCGGCAGCCGGGTGATCTGGCTGAGCCAGGAGACGGGGCACAGCGAGCAATCCATCAAGGACCGCATCTTCCGCATGCGATTCAGCAGCCAGCTGTGAGCTCTCGGGAGCCCCAGGGAGCCGGCTCTGCACCGGCCGCCGGGCTGCAGCAACGGACGCGTGAAACCCAGATCTCGGACTCCATGGCAAGTGGCTGTTCTTGGTCCGCAAGCCGGAGGCTGGCTGCTGAGAGAAGCCACAGCAGACCCCCGGGAGCCTGCAGAGCCTGGGCATCCCAGCGCCCGCACACCCAGCCTCTGCACTGATGGGGCTTTGCCCCCGGCTGTCACGGAAGTGCCACCACGGCCAGCTGATCTGGCTTGCTCCCACTGGGCGCCGCAGGGCGCCGCTCAGCCGGGCTACCCTCCAGACGCAGGCCCGGGGAGGGCATGGCGGGGCGCCAGAGGGAGGTGTCTTGCTCTCCTCTGGGTGTTTGCAGGGAGGGAGGGGCTGTGCGCCGGGAGGGGGGGGTTTCTCACAGGGGCGTGTGCAGCTATTTTTCTTTCCCCGTTGCCCGTGTAGAGAGCGGGACTGTCCCCAGCCGGTGTTTTGGCTCGTTTCAGAGCCTGGCCCAGGCCGCTGAGGGAGCCGGGCGGGGCTCCGGGCCAGGAGAGCTACAGACTCGGGCAGTCCTGCTCTGACAGCGCCTTAGAATCTGTGGCCCCTCCTTTTCCAAGCCGCCTGCTCCCCTGTGCTCCCAGAGGCGGCCGGGCCTGCTGCCCACAGACGCGCGTGCTGCTTGGCCCCGCGTTGGCCCTGTGCCACTGTGCGGAGGGCGCCTGACTCGGCTCCTCTCCACTCACCGGGCGCAGAGCTGGAGCGAAACTGCAGACGGCGGAAGAGCCAGGACATGCCCCGCCGGCTGCCCCACCTCAGGCGCCGGCGCACTCTGCATGGCTCGAGTGCCTGGCGCCCGCGGTAGAGCTGCCCGCGTCCCTGGCTGGGGAGGCTGGGGGTGCTGAGGCGAGCCCGCGGAGCACTGCCCCACCGAGTCAGGCCAGGCAAGGCCCTTGCCAAAGCCTAGCCAGGCCTGACTCCGGGACCCTGCTCTGTGCGCTGGCGGAGCAAGCAGCCGTGGGGGGTCCCTTGGGCGCTGTGTGCAGAGGAGCAGGGGGCCCTCGGCCGGCTGGCGGGTCAGGGTGCGAGGAGGGGCTAGGCGCTGAGGCAGGGCCGTGCTCGGGCACCGCGGGGCATGGGCGGTGCCGGAGCGGAGGCCGTGCAGGGCAGCCGAGGTGCCTGTGGTGGCTTCCTCCGCCCCCGCGTGCTGCACTGCGACTCCAGCTGGGCCACGCGCGGCCAGCCCCTCGCCCTCGGGAGCAAGTCCAGGCACCGTCACCCCTGGGCAGCCGCTCCGGCGGGATTGACCTCGCGGGGGGGGGCTCTTCGCGCCCTGGGCTCCTGTGAGCTCATCTGGTTGGCGGGTGCCTCAGTGCTCGCTGGGAGGGAGCCGCAGGGGCACCGTGGCTGCTCGGCGCGGTGCAAGGGGCAGCTTTGCGGGGGGCTGGGGCCTGGATCCCCTGGACGTTCCCCTTCGGCCAGACAGTCTGCGGAACCGTCGCTGCTGGAGGCGGAGCCGGGGTCGTGTCTCTGCTCTGGCTCCGGCTCCCATGGGCCGCCCCCCCTTCCGGGGCTTGGTCCCCATGTCAGTCCCTGCTTGTCCCCTCGGCCCGGGTGCCTCCCTGCACAGCAGCCGTCCTGGCCTGCCTCCTGCTGGCGGTGCTGGGCAGCTGCGAGCCAGGATACCGCCCTCCCCATTCCTGGCTTGCTGAGATTCGGCTGTGTGGGCTGCGCCGCGCCTTGGACAAAGCGTAACCCCGCAGCCTGCACCTCCGCGGGGCTGCTCCTCCGCCGCTGATTGGATCTCCCTGGCCGTGCTGGAAGCAGCACGTCTGCCGAGGCCACGCTTGGTGCCTCAGGCCCATGTTGTGCATGAGCAATCCCTGCTCTCTGCGTTTTCCCTCTTCCTTCCCAGCCCCCTGCGCAGCTCCCCCCTTCCGGCCGACTCCCTGCCCGCTGCCGCAGGGTCTGCGCCTCAGGAGACTCTTCTGGCTTTCAGTTCCTCTGTGAACACGTTCCCTGACCACCCGGAGTTGCAGGTTCCCGTTAGCAATGTCCGGCCACGCTCGCAGCCTTGTAACGATGCAGCGGCTCCTTTCCGGCTGCTTCCCCACCATGTCTCTGTTGTTTTCGCGCAGTGTGGAATGGGTGGGGACTGGCAGAAAGCGCTGGGCACGTGAACGGTGTTTTCGAGCGCTCGCGGCGGCGGTCTTGGTCCTTAATTTATTGCAAATGTTCTGTCCGGGGTGTGGCCTGTGATGATTCAATAAACCCTCTTTGACATTGTTTGTAAACAGCGCTCTGCTTCTGCCGCTGCCCCGGATGTACCAGCTGGGCTCAGGCCACGGTTGCCAGATGGTTTCGACAAAAAAACCGGACACACTTGACATTCCATCACAATCGACATTCCACCTGATCTAGAAAACAGCGGCCAGTTCTGGTTTCTCCTTTCTAGTCTCTCAATTTGTTTCCCGAACAGAAAGCTCAAATACTGGACTGTCCGGTCAAAACTGGACACCTGGCAGCCGTAGGCCAGGCCCTTCGGGTTTGACAGAAGAGTGAAAAGTGATGGAACAGCTCCTGAAACAAGAGGGCTCCTGTTAGAGTAGCAATCTCCCCCCACACCCACTGTGGAGTTAATCTTGCTTGTGTCATCTGCTCGGCCGCTGCTGAGAGAGGGGCCCAGCCATCTGGGCCCGTCGCGCTCCACAGACCCCTCGGCAGCATGTCCTGGGACTGACCAGACGTGGGAAGCGAGTGTTCGGCCCTTTCCCGGGAGCAGTGGAATTAATCTGCCTTGCTGGCTCTTTGGGGGCCGGGGCCTACGACTGGGGGCAGGGCCCGTTCCAGCGGCTTGTGCCACCGAGCTGGCGTGTTTTTTGCGTGCTTGTTTTTCCCTCTAGATCTCCTCGGACCACATGCGTTCCCCAAGTGGCCCCAGATCCCGTGAAATCCCCAACTGGGGAAGCTCTTACGTTGGTTTAACCGCTCTGGCCACTGCAGTATGTGGACACAGCCTTCGATATCCCTGGCACCCGCATTGGGCACCTCCGTGGTCTCCGGCGGCCACCCTCTCCCGGAAGCGGCCAGGCGTGTGGTCTGTAACGAGCGCTCCTGCCTCCACAATGTTCGTTAGTCTATTGAGCTTCAGGGCTGCCCTGTGGCCCTGACGCAGGTCCCGTTTCAGACGAGTAATACAGGAGTCGCTTCTCAGTTTCTCTTGGCTCCTCGCTGGACCCTTTCGTGCAAAAGGAAGGGGGGGGGTGCTGGGCCAGGGTGGGGGCCTGTCCACTCAGCTGATGGGTAAGGAGCAGAGAAAAGAGCCAGGTCAGGAGCCAACCTGCCCCGGGGCTGGACGCCCAGGGTTTGCCTGGAGGTTAAATAGGAAGCGTGAGGTGACGCGCTGTGCAAAGTGGAAGCCACGGCCAGGGGCCACGAGCGGTGGCAGATGTGGGGAGTCGGTTCTGCCACCCAGCTCAGCCCCCGGCCAGGGAAGCA